TTATGATTGCCACACACTGCATACTGCACTTGCCCTATAAGCCTTATATACCACCTGTCACATCTTATTTGTAAAGTTAATCTATATGTATTTTAACTTGTTGTTATTGTTTGATGTTTTAAGATTATACTATTAGCATTGAATCCTTGCTGTGAGCCGGCCTGAGTCCCTCTACGGAGGTTAGAGAAGATCGGCATATTAAAGTTTTAAATAAATAAATTTGCCAGGTGCAGGAGTTAATGAGTTAATCAGCACTTTTAATCCTGTACCCATTACTCTGGCCCGGCCCAGTTTTATTGTGTCTTAGTGTATTGTTTATTGCTTGTTGTTTATATTGCTTTAATTGTTTTTAATTTGCTTTAGGTTTTGTATTGTTATATTGTGTGTTGAGGCCTTGGCCTTTGTAAGCCGCATCGAGTCCTTCGGGAGATGCTAGCGGGGTACAAATAAAGTTTAATAATAATAATATAATAATAATAATAATTGAGGACCACTGTAGAGCAGGCATGGGCAAACTTCAGCCCTCCTGGTGTTTTGAACTTCAACTTCCACAATAGGCTGTTAGGAATTGTGGGAGTTAAAGTCCAAGACACCTGGAGGGCCGAAGTTTGCCCATGCCCACTCTAGACATTGATTCTGGGTCAATAACTTGAAAACCAATGTGGTACAATGGTTTAAATGTTGGGCTACAACTCTGGGAGCCCACACTTTGAATTCCCATTCAGCCATGAACTATCACTTAGCGACCATAGCCACACTTTCTCAGCCTAAGAGGAAGGCAATGGCAAGCCTTCTCTGAAGAAAGCTTTGCTGAGAACACCCCGTGACAGGTCACCTTAGGGTCACCATACTTCAATACTTTCATTTACATAAAATCGGGATAGATGAAGGTAAGACAAGGGCCACAAATAACTTCAGGGCGCATAATCAAGAGAATCTTAATTGAATATTTCTGGAACTAAAAATGATTACAGTTGACACCAAAGGCAAACCTCACACCAGAAGTCACTTGCAGTTTCCCAAGTTGCTCCTGACCTGAAAAAAAAAAATCACACAGGCTTTCTTACCCATTGTAGGATGCTTCCAGCACTGTTCGGGGATGGAGCCTGCCAGATCCCATCAAACAACACACAACTTCTTCTGGTGGAACTCCGTCCCCAAACTGTACCGGAAATGTCCTATGATGGTTAGGAAAGCCTGAGTGATGTGTGTGTCAGGAGCAACTTGGGAAACTGCAAGTTGCTTCTGGTGTGAGGAAATTGGCCCGTGCTGTCCCAGCAGCAGMGACAGCACAGGGGAAGATGTGCAGTGGTGCTTTCCCCTGTGTGATGGGGAAGGCAGTGCTGTGGGCGATGTGGTACGTGGTGCAACTGATTCTTCTGCTGCCCCCCAGATTTGCAACGATGCCTGGCAGATTCCCCCCCCCCCCCACACACACACATACACTGTTGCCCGCATTAAGGCACTTGATGTGATGAGGTCCTTAATCCAGTCATGGGATTTGAATCAGGTGGGGACAAGGATGCTGGGGGTGAGCGTGGTGTTCACATATTAGATTTCTATGTTCAGATTTCTAAGTAACTGGATTTTGTCATTCTTATGACCAACTTGAAGCCATTATATGGGAAGAAGGGGCAAATGGCAATTGGTCTCTCATTCTCCCTTTGCTGCAGCCAGCTGGCAGGTCCTTTAGTCTTGAGGGATTTATCTGACTTTAAGGAAGTCTTATGTTTTATGCATTTTGTGAGGCAGAAGATGAGCTGTTTACTCTTCTTCTGACAAAGGTTGACCAAAGAAGAAGAGATTTCTGGATTGGAGTGTATTGCGTGGGTATGTATAGAGTTCCCTTTGTCAATGCAAGCATATTTCCTCAAGTTCTTTCTTCTCCTGCTTTATGTGGGAAATGTTATTTGCTAAACTGACAGGATCTCCAGGGTGTAAGCTGACAGGCTTCACGCAGATTACAAAAGGCATGAACTGAAACTAGCTTTCCTTAGAGATAAAACTGAGAGCTGATGATGCTGTGGGCGACAACACTGGCTCTTTCAGCACACGGCATCATGGCCTTGAGGGGGTGAGATGTCTTCCTGTCCACCTTATTGCATTTTAAAGTTAGGTACATAAAAGCAGATGATTGCATTATAAGGTTAGGTACGAAAAAGCTGAGGTCTGGTTCAGGGATTTTGTTTATAATTATAGGTGCTTTCTAGTCTCAATATGCCTGTGGTTACTGACTTGAACATTTTCACAAGCCATTTGCTTCAGGTCGTATCCTGAATATATATCCAGGCAATTTAAAATGTTAGACCATAATCTGGTAGTTAAGTGCTGCAAATGTTTCTAATATCATTTATTTTCTTTCTTTAAAACAATAGTTTTAGAAATACTGCCTTAAACCCTGGAGAAGTGCTCTGATCAGTATGCCAGTATGACAATGCTCTGGTTGGATGGATTTGTTGTTGTGTGCCTTCACATTGTTTCTAACTTTTGGCAAACTTAAGATGACTTTTTCACAGGGTTTTCTTTTATATATATATGTTAATTTTTATTGAATGCATTTCTACTTTCATTTACATAAAATCGGGATAGATGAAGGAAAGACAAGGGTAAAAAGGTCGGGATGGGATGTGGATAGGTAATAGGTAGTGTGTCCCTACAAGGGAAAGGGTAGACAGATAAGACAGATAAGGAAGGTCAGAGGGACTGAGGGGCGGAAGAAAGAAAAAGGGGAGGGGGGGGGTTGGTGCATGGGTTTTTTTGTTGACTTCCAAATCTCCTTCTCTGCAACTTCCAGTAGTATATGTTTGTATCTTTAATTTTCTCGCTAATCTTCTTTTCCTCCCCTCTTCCAAATCTATAATATATTCCTTGTTTCTCTTCTGTACAACTCCCTCATTTCAGGTCATATCAAATATTCTACAACTCTTCACAAGTTTTTCTTGACAAGATTTGTTCAGATTGGGTTTGCCTCTATTTTCCTAAGAGCCTGAGAAAGAGTGACTTGTCCAAGTCATCCAGAGGATTTCCATGACTAAGCGGGTTTCCGAACCCTGGTTTGTAGAGTTGTAGTCCAACGCTCAAAGCACTATACCATGCTGGATGGATTGCTTTGTATAAAGCAACATACTATATTCCTAATTTCTGGCTAAACACTTCCCTTCCCCACTGCCTGGTTCTTAGTCTTCACTATTCCCCATGGTTACCAAGAACTTATATGAGTTGAGTTTTGTCATATGGAGGGTTTCTAAACAGAAGCTATGTGGACATCTGACAGGAATGCTTTGATTGTGTGTTCCTTCATGAGAGAATGGGCTTAGACTGGATGGCCTTTGTGGTCTCTTCCATTATTCTATTATTTTATTTTATGTTTCTATATTAATTCTTAAGGCCCCTGATGGCGCAGCAGGTTAAACTGCTGAGCTACTGAACTTGCTGACCTAAAGGTTGGTGGTTCGAATCCGGATAGCCGGGTGAACTTCCACTGTTAGCCCCAGCTTCTGCCAACCTGGAAGTTTGAAAACAAGCAAATGTGAGTAGATCAATAGGTACCGCTTCTGTGCGAAAGTAACGGTTCTCCTTGCAGTCATGCTGGCCACATGACCTTGGAGGTGTCTGTGGATAACGCCAGCTCTTCGGCTTAGAAATGGAGATGAACACCACCTCCTAGAGTCAGACACAACTAGACTTAATGTCAAGGGGAAAACTTTACCTTTTTTTTCTATTAATTCTTATCTCAATGCCCCCCCTTCCCCAATTCCAATAGTTTCTAAGGGATGAAACCCCTGTGTTTTCCAAAACCCACAGCACTTTATTATGGTCAATCAGAATGTAATGAAATTTTGTTAATTTTTGACTAATTCCAAACTCCTAACTTAGGTACCTGGTATAAAGAAAGGTACACGATGAGGGAAGAAACAGAAAACTACTCCATATCTCAGCAGACATTATAGTCTTGGAGTTTGTAGTTGGGCCTCTTCTCCTTATGGAGACTGCAGACTGAATGGGTTACTGCTGGATGTGAGGGTAGCAGGTTCCCTCCTACATGATGACATTAGGACCAAGACAGAAGGATGAATCTCCATTTCCAAAAACCCAAGCCAGCTACAGCTCAGAGATGTGTCATTTGCCTTGGGCAAATTATACAAGCTTTTGAGTTGGCATAGAACAGAAGTATAGAGAAACATGCCAGCCCTTATATAAGCAAGGGTTGGAGAATATTTTTAAGTGCTGCACCAGATAAGAGAGTCGATTGAAATCAAATTACATTACCACATGGTTGTACGAAATGGTGCCCTCAGTACAAAGCCTCTCTTTAGATTATTTTTTAAAAAGTATTATTCCTTTCACTTTGCTTGTGAATCTCCAAATCTTGTATTTTCAAAAATACCTCTTCTAGACGTGGAGGTGGGGTGTGAAAGAGGGAGACTAAGTCCCTCAATTTCTATGATATTTGAAAGAAAATCAGTTTCAATGCAAATTTGGCACTAATATTGATCCCACCCCCCATTTTTCAAAATATGCTTCAATATAAAATTGGGGGTAAAAGTCCCCCAAATGGGTTAAGGGAATAAAACTTTCTCCTTGTCATTAATTCAGAGGTGCTGCTCATCTTCATTTCTAAGCAGAAGTGCCAGCATTGTCCATAGGCACCTCCAAGGTCATGTGGCTGGCATGTCAGCATGGAGCCATGTTACTTTCCCGCCAAAGTAGTACTTATTGATCTACTCATCTTTGCATGTTTTCAAACTGCTAGGTTGGCAGAAACTGGGGCTAACAACAGAAGTTCCCCCTGTTCCATGGATTTGAACCGCTGACCTTCTGGTCAGCAAGCTCAGCAGCTCAGCAGTTTAACGCATTGCACACCATGACCCCATTTTGTTGCTCTGTCACAGTTTTAATCAGATTCTGAAATTCAATGAATTATGTTTTTAGGAATGTCTTTCATGAAAATAGTGTTACTCTTGCTTGTGCTGATATCTTTTCTCTTTTTCCTGGTCTAGGCAATACGTTGGCGCATAGACTTGCAACCCTGGGCAAGCTCACCATCATCGCTGAAGGATGAAGCCCTCCGGCTCTTAAAATATATCAGCACTACCCAGGTTGGTTTCCATCTTGGCGTTTGTCTACAAAATCAGAGCCTGAGGTTTTGTGCTCAGCAAAATCCTGTTTCATTATGACCCCACAAATGCGTAATAGAGGATAGGCAATTCATATTGTGTTCTAACAGATTAAAATAAATGACTTCAGATTGAAATAATAGTGAAAACAACAGCAACAAAATAATAATAATAATAATAATAATAATAATAACAACAACAACAACAACAACAACAACAACAACAACAACCATCGAAGACTCTGTCACAAGCCAGTAAAGGTGGTCCCAGTGGTGATCAGCACACTGGGTGCAGTGCCCAAAAACCTTGGCCTGCACTTAAACACAATTGGCGCTGATAAAATTACCATCTGTCAGCTGCAAAAGGCCAACCTACTCAGATCTGCACGCATTATTAGCTGATTCATCACACATTCCTAGACATCTGGGAAGTGTCCGACGTGTGATCCAATACAACAGCCAGCAGAGTGATCTTGTTTGATGTGTACTAATCCTGATGTATTTCAAATAATCATAATAACAACTTTATTATTGTATCCCACCATCATCTCCCCAGAGAGACTCAGGGTGGCTTACACATGGCACAAGATGATTAAACATAAAATGAAAACAAATTAAAAATACAGTTAAATACAACATATGGACATATAAAACATCAACTAACACTCCATTAAAAACAGCGCTAATCAACCAATGGCGGTAAGCTACTAAACACATGGCCAGCCAATAAACAAACAAAGTGGGAATGGGATAAGTGCAAAACTGTAGCCATGGGAAGAGGGCATGGGAAAAAAGAGCAAGGCTGAATAACAACTGTGTAAATAACTAGGGACTAGGTGTTCTCAAATGTTTGTTTCAAGAGCCAGGTCTTCAGGTCCCACTGGAAAGAGGATAGTGTGGGGGCTTGCCTAATTTCCCTGGGGAGGGCATTCCAAAGCTGGAGGGCCACCACCGAGAAGACCCTCTCCTTCGTCCCTACCAACTGCACTTGAGATGGTGGTGGGACCGCGAGGAAGGCCTCCCTGGCAGATCTCAGAGCCTGTACCAGTTCATAGGGGAGGATGTGGTCACAAAGATAGATAGGACCTGAACAAAACCTCTGAAAAGGTACACTTTCTTTGAGGAGTTAATCACAAATCCCATCATTACAACAAAGGCCGGGGGGGGGGGGGGGGGGGAATAGGACTTGGCTGAGAACTGAGTTATGTGTACTTGCTGCATAGGATCCCTAAAATATTGGATATTATACCGAATATTTTCTGAATGTTTATTTGGTAGTTATATTTCCCTCCAAACTATAGGCTGTGATGCTTCAGCTGATGTAAGTTTATAACGGCACTATTATGGACTAAGGGCATGACTATATTGTAGAATTAATTCAATTTATCACCACTTTAGTTGCCATGGCTCAATGCTATGAAATCATGCAGGTTGTAGTTTTACAAGGCCTTTATCCTGTGTCAACGAGTGCTGTCTCCTTACCAAAATATAACTCCCATGATCCCATAGCATTGAGTCATGGTAGAAGTGTCACACTGCATTAATTCTACAGCAGAGATGCACCCTAAGACAATAGTAACTGATCCAAGGTCACTCAGAATCTCAAGAAGCTAAGGAAAATATGTGTGTTTTCTTTGTGTTTGTGGAAGGTTTGGGGACAAAAAAAGTGCCTTAGTAGCACAAATTATGTCCCTGGTGGATTTTTGCTAGTTAAAGATATACATGGCAGCTGAATTCAGATACATTTTCAACTCATCGGGTGACAGTGATGTCAAGTGCCTCGCTGGTAAATCTGGTTTTTGTGCATTTCACAAAAAACATTATCAGGCCCAAAACATCTTGACCAATTGGAGAAGGACAAATTGCATCCATTAAATAATTGAGTGCGTTGGCTGGGGCTGCTGGGAATTGCAGTCCAACCATCTGGAACACAACACTTCGGATAAGTTGTTATTAAAATATAAATTATTGGAATATATAAAACTGGAAAACCAGGTAAACAATAATTGGGCTGCAGATTGGAAGTGAACATCAAAATCTGTGCTGAATGTTGTCCCAAATTGTCTGACTGAATTTTAGTTGAGTTATCACTTTACCTCTAGGAATAAAATGAATGCCAGAATACAGATATCCTTCGTCACCAGACAGATACAGACTTCTTCCAACAGTGGGTTATTTTCCATATGATGTATGGAAAATGTACACAAAAGTGTCTTTTTTCAGATTTGGAAGGAGAGCAATGAAAGTATATCACTGAGGTCTTTGAAGGTCAGCAAATAGTTTATAGTTCTCCGTGAGTGAGACTTGGAGTGCAGTAGCCTTACTGTTCAGAAAACCATTCCCCCTTTCCAAGAATGTAATACAATGTGGCAGCTTCTGCCAGGCCTTGCTAGTTGGGTCAAAACCTACAAGGGCATCAATTTGTAGAGGTTTTATAGTTGCTGACAGGGCAATCAGGAGTTTAAGCTTTGGGAATGACTGTCCTCAGCCCCCCAGGGCTAAATTAGATTGAGAAGTTAGAGGAGCCCTCATTTCCCCCCTGCCAGATGCTGCTGCATTCCCATCTTAATGTTAGCACAGAGTGAATATTAAAAGATGCGTAATTTAATTTCGTGGTCTGGGCGTTCACCCTTTTTCTAACTAGCAGTTTGGAAGAAGCTGCTTACTGGCTTAGCTCCAAATAAGTGTGCAGCTACTTTTGTGAGACCAAGGGAGATATGAGCTTGGCATTTTTGTGCAAACAACAGGAAAGGGGGGAGGGAATCTGGGATGCTGACATTCAGTATTTACTGCCTTTCATATTCATTCTGTTGGTCAAGTTGATTTTTTAGAATCTCTCCCAACATCAGTGATACCTGACCCTTTAGATTTCTGTCAGAAGAGCTGTCAGTGCAGATTGCGATGAAGGAGTTGAGACCTGATCTCCCCCCCTCCCCCCAAAAAATAACCCCTATTCTGAATACAAACATTTTTATCTGATTTGGGAAGCTAAACAGGACTGTCTGGTATGACTTACCTCTGTTCTCTCCTCATGTGAAAAGAAAGAATGCATTTTTAGGAATTGCTATATTGAATGGGAAGCCAAGAGATGCACCTGGTATTTGAGTGAATTTACTTACTTACTTAGGCGATTTCTCGTAGTCCACGGATGATGGCCCTCCAAGTGCAGTGTCTCGGTGGTGGATCCGTAGGTGGCTGTAGAACCTTATTCTTGATCTGCATGTTCTCCCACGGTGAGGACATGGATTTCCAGGTGGAAGACGGTCCTGGTCAGGGTTGGCTTGATGCGCCTTTCTCTTGGCACATTTCTCCCTTTCACCCTCCATTTGTGCCTCTTTGAATTCTGCAGCATTTCTGGTCACAATTGACTTCCACTTAGAGCGCTCAAGGGCCAAGGCTTCCCAGTTCTCGGTGTCTATGCCACAGTTTTTAAGGTTGGCTTTAAGCCCATCTTTAAATCTCTTTTCCTGTCCACCAACATTCTGTTTTCTGTTCTTGAGTTGAGAGTATAGTAACTGCTTTGGGAGATGGTGATCGAGCATTCGGACAATGTGGGCAGTCCAGCAGAGTTGATGGTGTAGGAGCATCGCTTCTGCTTCTTCCAGCATTTGTCTACCAGTCTTCCCAAGAGGTTTGCAGGATTTTTCAGAGGCAACACTAATGGAATCATTCCAGGAGTTGAATTGAATTTAAGAAGCTATTGATGTGATTATGGATTAAAACTTTTGGGGCAGAAACAGCTGCTATGGTATGAACAAATACCAGGTAGATTCTTATATTCTTAAAATGGGGAAGTATTGCCTCTGGGCTGCATGTTGTAATTGTTAACTACTGTCAAATTGACCTTAACCTATGGTGACCCTACACACAAGAGACCTCCAAGACACCCTATTCTGAACATCCCTGTTCAGGTCTCGCAGATTCATGTATTTGGCTTCCTTTAATAAGTCAACCCATTAGTTATGAGGTAGTCTTTGTCTATAGCCTTTTATCTTATAAAGCAATGCAGATACTGTATTGTCATGATATGGTCAAACTATGAAAGTGTCAGTGTATTCATCTTGGCTTCTAGGGAGGGTTCAAGGTTAATTTACCTTAGGTCCCCATATATTTAGCAGTCTCCAATATCCACAAAAATGAGTTGATTTTCTTTCTATCTTTGCACTTTTGGATCTGATCTAGTTCTTTCATAGCTGCCCTGCCAAATCCTTCTTGTGATGTCTTGACAGCTGTCTCCATTCTGATTCATGACTAAGCCAAAATATAGAAGATTTCTGTGTGTTCATCATCTGCTTTAAAAGAGCTATCCAAGGTGCTAGACTTGGTGGACATAGGGTTCAATAATTGGATTTTTTTTAAAATTCCCACTGAAAAACTTTAAAGTTATACAAAGCTTCTGTGGTTGTTATTTTTGTTTCCTTAATGTTCAGCTGTAAACCTGCCTTTTCTACATTTGGCTCTGCAATCCCTTTGTATGTCTACAAACTCTCGAAGTTCCTGGAGTGTAATTGTTTTTTAAATAAAAGTGAAAACAGCCCAACAAAAAAAATCATGGTGGCTTGGTTTTTAGGCCTGTTCCTGGAATTATTTGGGGGCACTGGCTCAGAAAATTGCATTGCATCAGCTTTAGTTTCTTAGGGCCCTTCCACACAGCCATATAATCCAGAATATCAAGGCATAAAATCCCACAATAACTGCTTTGAACTGGGTTATCTGAGTCCATGCTGCCATATATTCCAGTTCAAAGCAGATAATGTGGAATTTTATTCAGCTGTGTGGAAGGAGCCTAAGATGTGGTTATGATTATTTTCTTTCTTTTTTTAAAAAAATATACATTTTATTTTAAAATTATAATACACCCACAATACACATTACCAACATGTACATATAGATATCCCGACACCCACAATACAGTTACCCCTCATCATGATTTTCTTTGGGAGACCAGATGACTACTGGTACATTGCATATGCTCTGTATCTC